AGGAGGGGGGGGGGGGTATTCTTAGCGGTTAGACCATTGACCACGCGTCCTCGGAGAGGACGGGGCAGCTTTGCTCCCACAGGACCGATCACCGATGGCCAATCGTTCCTTCCTACTTTTGCCAAAGGTGGCTCAAAAATGCCTTCCCTACATCTTCGATCTATCCTACTGGGGGGGGAGGGGGTCGGCGGAACGGAAACGACACCTACGTACCAACCAACCCGCCCGGAACCGTCATGTTTCTCTTCACCCGTCCCTCACGAGAGCCAACTTCAAATATCGCTTTTGTCCAGAAACGTTGAACACAGCAGCAGCAGCAGCAACAACGACAACAGCAGCAACAGCACCACCACCACCAATAACAACAGCTCACCTCTTCCTCCTCCTTCTGCTTCTTCTTGAGCTCCTCGTGCGCCTCCTTCTCCTTGTCCTTCTTGGTCGCCCACGTCTCCTCCGCGAACTTCTGAGCCTCCTCCAGGGAGTCCGTCACCAAGATCTCGTCGAAGATAGTGCCCGCCGTCACCTGATGATGACATTTTCAACTTTCAGTTTTTTTTATATACAATTGTATGTTCATTTTCTTATAAACGAATGGAAACTTTTTTTTTTGGAACAAATCGGAACATTTGCTTTTGAACAAATCGGAAATTGTTTTCATTGGCCAGGAAGTCCGTCACCAAGATCTCGCCGGAAGATGGTGCCCGCCGTTACTACATGAGGACAGCAGTTCAAATTTCAGTTTTGTGTCTGGCCACATAAATGGGAAATCGTTTTCGCTGTCCGGGGAATCGGTCACCAACATCTCCTCGAAGATAGCGCCGGTCGTTACTTGATGACAAATCGATTTTCAGTTTTTTTTCTCAACAAGCGGGAAGATCTCGTCATTGGCCAGGGAGGGGCGGGAGGTTACATCATCAGCGAGATATGACGCGTGACGTCACGGACAGCGATTCCGCTCAAGGAACAGTGAGTCAGGGTCTACCACAGCCAGCACAGCTTCATCTTATGCGCCCAGAAGTCTACAATACAGTAGTGGGCCTGTATAGTGCCGGTATGTGCCCAGAGGTTTTACCGGCACTATGCCGGGCCACCGGCACTATCTATTCAGAAGATGGATATAGAGGTGTTAGTATAGTAGTGGACACTCGTGTCCTGAGATTTTTACCGGCACTATACCGGAGTGCTGTGGCACTACTCAACCGGCACTACACAGAGCCCACCAGTGTACAGAACCGCAGCTCGAACCCTGAGTTCAAGGGCAAACTACAGCAGTACAGGTGTCCCGAGATAGTGCGGCTATTTATGTGCCAAGCGATTTCACCCGCACTATTCCATGTGTTAACCGCCTTGAATATTCCATCTGTGCCAAGCGATTTCACCCGCACTATTCGATGCATTAACCGTCTTGAATATTCCATCTGCGCCAAGCCATTTCACCCGCACTATTTCGTGACATCTAAACGTAAAAACGCACACGAAACCCACCCATCCCAACCCAGTACAGAACCACCACCGCCAAGCCTCACCTGCCACAGCTCGAACCCAACGTGGGTGCAGTCGGTGCACCTCTTCCCCAGCGTCTTGTCCTCCTTGTAGTCCGGGTTGGGCACCATCGGGTGCTCCCAGGGGCCCTTGTAGTCCGGGTTGGGGATCATCTTGGGCTTCCACTTGCCCTTGTACTCGGGGTTCTTGATCATCGTCGGCTCCCACTCGCCGTCCTCCTCCTCGTCCCAGTCCTCGGGCTTCTCGGCCTGGATGGATGTAGGTAGATGCGTTGCGGGGGGAGATAAATTAGGCCTTCAAACATAACACAAACGCATTTTCTTCGTGCGTAAATTAGCGGCGATAGGGTGATGACACACGTATTGAACACAGAAAATATAGGTGTATATTTGTACATCATGTATTTTTCGTCGTCCCAGTCCTCGGGCTTCTTTCTCGGCCTGGCGCTCGGTGGCACCGTAGCAGCGGCGATAAATTAGGCTTCAAGCATACAAGCGAACAAGGCGTGTTTGGGGTGTGCATTTGTATAATAGTTATTTTGGTCGGCCCAGTCCTCGGGCTATTCGGCCTGGACGGTGTAGCAGCGTTGCGGGGACAAAAACGTTAGGCCTTAAAACATACCACAAACGCAATTTCTTCGTGCGTAGCGGCGATAGGGTGGAGATGACACATGTACTGAAAACATTGTTGTATTTCTTCGTTTGTTTTTTTTTCGTCGTCCCAGGCGTCGGGCTCTCTCGGCCTGGCGTATGAACAGAACACCGGGTACATAAATTACTTTCACTCACATGTATTCGAACATAGCGGGGAAAGTACGAACGCCTATGCAATAACCGATAAATCTGTAATCTGCAACGTTTTGGTTGGATCGTGTATTGGCATCGTCGCAAGCGTTGATCAGCACTGATTTGTCAGACCCTCAGGCTAGCATTCGTCTTCATCTGCCACACCAACAATAGCAACAACCAACCAGGCCCAACAAGCTACGACCAAGACATAAAAACAACACAGTAGAAGAAAATACGAATCAACCGCAAGTGGAGAAGTTGCGTCCATAGCAGTAGGTGGTTGGATCGTGTATTGGCATCGTCGCAGCGTTGATCAGCACTGATTGTCAGACCCTCAGGCTAGCATTCATCTTCATCTGCCACACCCACAATAGCAACAACCAACCAGGCCCAACAAGCTACGACCAAGACATAAAAAACAACACAGTAGAAGAAAATACGAATCAACCGCAAGTGGAGAAAATGCGTCCATAGCAGCAGGTGGTTGGATCGTGTATTGGCATCGTCGCAGCGTTGATCAGCACTGGTTGTCAGACCCTCAGGCTAGCATTCATCTTCATCTGCCACACCCACCGTATGCAAAAACATTTAACCCACAACAAGCTAGAAAACGGTGATAAAAAACAATATCGACACAGTTGATTGATACAAACATATGAACGACACGTGGACACTTTGTGCCGAAAGCAGAGCAGGTGGTTGGTTCGTGTGTATCGGCATCGTAGCAGCGTTGATCAGCACTGACTGTCAGACCCTCAGGCTAGCATTAGTCGTCATTTGCCGGAAAACACACACTGCGCTGTACCGCCACTAGGAGCGAGCGCACAATCGTTGTCCTATTATATAGCAACTAGATATAGCAGTTGCCTCAACAGGCGTACAATAGTAGGAAGAAAGCGTTGGCATCGCAATCAGAGATTGACGCAAATAACAACCTAATTATGTTACAAAACAGCAACAGCAACAGCAGTACCAACAACAGTACCAACGCCAGTCGGATATGGCTCGGCAGCGACCGGTACAATCAACGGAACAACGACCAAACAACAAAAAATACGAAACGCACGGGGGCGACGCGGAATCCACCATCTCCGACCCTGCGCACCGCACACACACACACAGAAAACGAAATCGAGTGCAAGGGACAGCCTTGGTAGACACGTGCAGTTTTCTTCTGTTGCTACGGTTTCTGTCTTTCATCCGGAGAGTAGCCAAACCTCTCCCATGCCGCCCCCTCACGGGGGCCCTAGTCAATGACATTTACAATTGGTTTTTGTGCTTTCAACCGCGCTGAGACTGACGTCTTTTCATTGGTCAGCCGATAAGCGCGGTCGATGCTAACAACATAGACACACACACAACACACACACACACACCTTCGGGTCCGGGATCTCGGATGGGATGTCATCGTACCCCTCGGGCTTCACATCCTCCGGGTCGGGAATCTTCTTCTCGTCCACCCAGTCCTCCGGCTTGCTCTGCCCCGGGTCCTTGATCTCCTTGGGGGCCAAGAAGTCGAACTCGTCCTCGAGGGACCCGGCACGCACGCTCTCCTGGTCGATGAACACCTGTGTGTGTGTGCGTGTTTTTTTTTGGGGGAGTTTTTGAGTTTCTGCTTTGTTTCCGGAATCGGAACGCGAGATTTAGTATTACTCGTATTTTGTTTTGAAAGTGGGTGAGTTTCGTTGTTCCGAAATCGGCACGCGAGATTTAATAGTACTCGTATGTTGTGTTGAGAAAAGTGAGTGAGTTTCACTGTTCCGAAATCGGCAAGCAAGGATCATGAGAAGGATCCTGTTTGCTTCCGAAATCAGCACGTGAGGGTTAGTAATTACCGGCAGTAAACCGTTATTTTTTTCTTGTGCATTTGAGAACGTGAGATTTGATTGTTTACGAAATCGGCACGCGAGGTCTAGTAATTACCGGTCGTATACCGGTATTATTTTGGCGTTTGAGAACTTGAGATTTGATTGTTTCCGTTAGTTATCCTTACCTCGAAGGTGCCATCGGGCTTGACGTGCAAGGTGTAGAGGTGCGAGGCCTGGTCCTTCTCCATCTTGACGTCCTTCTTGATGAGCAAGTTGCCGTCGTCTCCCTCTCCCTTGGGAGGGTAGTTGAAGATCACGTGCGTGCGTGCGTTGCTCGTGCCGCACTTGTCGGGCCCGAACATGATCTGATTGACACACCGTCGGCAAAGGGAGAAACACAGAGTAATACATGTTACCCATGTTCAGAGCTTCAACCAAAAAAACATGGCATGTCATTTAATAACTCCAGTGGCAAGAAACATTAGCACAATTAACAAAGAAAGAATCAGATCGAGCTCTGCCGATGCGAGTGCCGCACTTGTCGGGACCGAACATGATCTGATCGATTCACCGTCGGCAAAGGGGGGAAATTACAACATGTCAAGAATGCTCGAGACCATCGACAAAAAAACATGGTACAGTCGGCGGTCCTACTTGTAGCGGTACTCTGAAAAAGTGGAATACCCTGAGTAGCGGCACCAAATCGCTTGGCACAAGTGCATCTCTCAGCACAATCGCTACTAGGAATAGCGGCACTGCCCGAATAACGGCACCAAAACCTCTTGTCCCTGGGGTTTAGCGATTGAGGACCACAGTAGTAACAAACATGAGCAAAACATGAAAAAAAAACAATCAGCTCTGGTGATGGTCGTGCCGAACATGATGTGATTGGAATTTTAACCATGTTTGGAGGAAAACATCGTCGTCGGCATCGAGTTCTGGCATATTCATTGCCACTCGCCGAAAGCGGGGAATTGTATCAAAACAAATAAAAGCCAAACACACCAATGACATATGACAACAACAATACGAACAACAACAGGAACAGCCACAGCAGCAGCCACAGCCACAGCAACAGCAACACCTAAACAGCAACGAAAATGAGGGCCGTCTTCGCGAGACCTCAAGTTTATTGAGGAAATAGAACCGGGAGGGGGTACGCAGACATAACCCTATTTCTTTTAACATCAACCCCATAACCCTAACCCCACTTCCCCGATTGCATGGCTTTCTACGTCCAACATGATGACGTCATACGAAGTAGAAAAACCCCGCCAACGCTACCGGAAAATGCACCAAAACAACCGAATGCATGCTTTTCTTCAACATGTATCGCGGTGGAAGTGCAGGTAGCCTTCGCTGACGCTATGGATTTATTGCCAACCTATCTTGACACTCTTTTCTATAGATGGAGATGGATTTGTTGCGCAATTTCAGAAGAAAAAAAAAAACAGCCGCGAGGGCCACTGGAAAATGCACCAAACCATCATCACCTGGTAAGGTGTGTCTATTCTATTGATAGAGGTGGATTCGTTGTGTCATATATATAAAAAAACGCCACTGGAAAATGCGCCCAAACAACCAATCACCTGGTACGGTGTGTCTGTTCTTTTAGATCAAAGTGGATTCGTTGTGTCATTTCAACAAACAAACAAAAAAAAACGCTGAAAATGCACCAAAACAACCCCCAATCACCTGGTACGGAGTGTCCCCCCCGAACGAGTCCTGGTCCATGTCGCCCGTGAGCTTGATGTACGCGCCCCCGCAGTCCAGCTTCTGCTCATTCTTAATGGACAGCTGCAGCACCAGGTCCTTCCCCTCGTTGGTAAACGGCTCCGCAAGCTTCGCGGACAAACCGTAAAACCTGGACAAAATGAATGTACAAAAAAAAATGGAAAGGTTTGCGGGAGGGTGTGTTGTATGGAAGTGGATGAATGCCGTAGTCATTGGTGAACGCCCCCGAAAGCTTCGTCGACATCCCGTAAAACCTGTCGACCAACGAAAACATGATTGAATCTTTAAGACCTACCTGGAAACGAGCAGGGCGAGCGCGAAACACGAGAAAAATGAGCCTGAGATCAAGGGTGCACCAAGGGTGTGTGAGCAAAAAAACACCGGGTCATGATGGAAAAGCAGAGGCCTTCCAAGGGGTTTTCGATCAAGCAAACATGTTGGATGAAGCATAAAATCGAGGAACTTTTTTTTTTTTTCTTGCAGAGGGTTGTTGAGGGATGGTTCTGTCACCGTACCGCCTACCTCCCTGTTCTATTTCCGCATATACTTATTAGTCTCGCGAAGGCGGCGCGAAAAAAGACCGACCCATGATTGAAACGACGCGTCGCATCAACGGGACACCAAAACACAAGGAAAACACGCGAGGTCCGACAGGTGGGTGCATTGGGAAAAAGCCCACACAAGAACAAGCAGCACGACGAAAATGATCCTGGCTGATGCTGCACATGTTGCCGATAGTGGTTAATATTATTATTTCTTCCTGCCGCGTATTCGGCAGACGTTTCGGCGAAACTAGCGACAGAGCGGTGTCCTAAAATGCATGCTTGCTACTAGTATCGTAGTCGAGAAGCGAAACAGTCACCGGCCTGAAAAAAAAACAAAATAATCCTACAAAGGCTCATCAGAGATTGCACACATGCGTATTCTCCGTACAAGATGTTGATTCTGTAGCCTACACCAGTGTCTCCCCTACTGCCCGCGGACGTCCGGATCCCCTCGTTGCTTTGTGGAGCCCCGGTGCCACACAACCAAACATATCTGTATTCTATGCCCAAAACCAGTATCTTCGAGTCAGTTCCTCATACTCATAGATCAAAGTATGGGATTCATACAGCAGTGGCATAACCTCTTGACCCACAAGGGTTGGTGCGTCCACCTCGTCTTGATTTACATTAATAATTTGAGGAATGTACGGTAGATAAACGGATACATGCTTACAATATGCATGCGTCATTTCCCGTAAATAAATTCCGGTTCTGATCATACAGCAGCATACATATCTCGCCTATTGCTGTCAGACATCAGGACCCCACTTGCCGTCTGCGGACCCCCCGTGCCACACAAGCGAACTACGTCAAGACTTCACAACCAACCCTCTTCGACAGCTGTGGTTTCATCTCGAACGACTAATCTGTCTCTGACTCGATGTATATTTCCAATAATTAAATTCTTTCTTCAAAGGCAAACAAAGCTCACCTATTGCTCTCGGAGGTCTGGATGCCCTTGTCGTCCGCGGAGCCCCCGTACCACTCGCCGGCCGTCCACCCCCACTCCCCCAGCTCGTCCGCGGGCTTCCACTTGGTCGGCACCGTCCATCGCTCCCGCCAGCCCTCGTCGTCGAATTTTTCCTGCAAGTAGATCTTTGCTTGCCTGTTGTTGTTGCGGTAGGGATTCGGTCCCATCATGATGGTGGCACGCCGGGAAAGGGGGAGGGGGGGGCGTACTCTTATGTTTTGCATGCCTTAGCGGTTAGTCCAGTGACCACGCGTCCTCGAGAGGACGGAGCACTGTTCCCACGGGAACGATCACCGATGGCCAATCGTTCCTTCCTATTTTGTTAAAGGTGGCTCAAAAATGTCCTCCCTAGTCTGTCTATCCTAACGATATCCCGTCCCGCCTTTCCAAGCCACTTCCTACTCCCCAGTACAGCTACCGTCCTCTCTTCTCTATTCCATGACTCGCGCGGGGGGAGGGTAGAAAACTTCGACGTTAGAACCGTTCACGCGGGATATGGACGGCTGGAATCTTCTCGCGATAAAAAAAAAAATCCAGAACGCACCGCAAAGAGGAAGGTGGGGCACGACAAGAAAAAGAAAAAGAAGAAACAAGCCCCTGGTGGCTGTACAAGTAGCACTTTACGCACACTGAAAAGGGTGTAGTACATGTCTACCACGAAAAATAGGGGGACTGCTGTCGCGTAATAAAACGAAAAGCACACACAACACATAAGTCCACTGGATTCGGCCGCCCCCCCCCCCCTCGGGCACCCGGCGGAACCATAGGTTGCATAAGATACCACACCCCCTCGAACGACTTTTCAAAGCTTCTTTACTCCACGACCAAGAGGATGCCGAAGGCAAACGATACGTGTTCGGAAAGCTTAAGCTTTCTCTCGACGCGACCGGTTCCAACGCCTCCCGCCATTTTCGGCACCGTCACTGCCTTTCCTGCCGAGCAATCAAGCTTTGAAAGTCGGTCCATGGGGTGTGAGATCTCATGCAACCTATACATACTCAAAAGTACGAGGGGGACGACTTGATTGTTCCATCTAGCTGAGCCAAGCGCCAAGCGATTCATTTCACCGGCCTTCAACAGGGCAACCGTGACGTAAGATACCACACCCCCCTGTACCGATTATTAGAGCTTGAGTACTCCACGGTAAGTTAGACTTGTGACCACGGGAATCGATCCCGTCAAGTGTTAGACTAGTACGGACAGAAGAAGGTACTAGGCAGAGAGAGCGGAACGGTTTCTAATGTGAAGACGACAACAACAACAACAACAACCAACAACTCGACGACGAAGAGGATGCGTACACCCAGCGAGACGTTGTCGGAAAGCTGTCGATGAGACCGTACCCACACCGCCATTTTCGGCATCGCGACTTGTTATGGTGCGGAGCACCCGAGCGATGAAAATTGGTCCAGGGGGCGTGGTATCTTGTGTAATGTCACCTGTACGGTACAAATACCCCCGCTAAATACCGCGGTGTTAGTCTCCATGCACTTTTTGTCCGCACAAACCTCACACACGCGAGCCTGAAAAAAATAACTGCGGTGTGTTCGCCCGCGTGGTATGCATACAAACACATCACAGCATCCTTGTACTAACGGGTGAGCTTTTGTGCGTCCTCTCACAGAATCAGCTGGGGAGATCGATTGGCAGCAGCAACGCACCGCCGTTTGTGTGTGTCGAAAATAGGGGACCCCCACGGACCGTTCGGTTGTGTCCGCCCGTGTCAGGTGTCAGGTTGACTAAATAGATACATAAAACCGGTGAACTGGCGAACCCCACGCAAACGTCTGAAAACACTCCCGCGCTCGCTCGCGTACAAACTGGCAGATAGCTGGTGCGTTATTTTCGGTGGACATAGACCCAACGAGGACGTGTGCGTGGGCACTGCTGTTGTTACAAAAAACCGGTAGAAACATGACCATTTTTTTTTTTTGAAGACCAAATTCATCTCCCCCACAGGTACGACAGAGACTCCGGTATATGGATAAATTGGCAATGAAATCCTAATCCTTGGCGGGAGCGGAAGCACTGCACCAGCTTTGTTTCTACCGTTTCCCGAGCAGCATATCTCCGCCGTGGGCGGCAACAGGCTCCGCGAGAAATCTGGGTTTCATTGCGCCGCCGTGTCGCTGCTGTTGTGACAAAACCGCCGCCCCGCCTTCAAAATACCAATCCCTCGTCTCCAGCCCAAACCGGAGATGATTCACCTACCCCATGGGACACGCAGCCGCTGTCTTGTAGCGCTCTCGGGAAGCGACAACGTGCTTCATGAAACAAACACTTCTGCGTGCATCAATAGTCTACTACTGCTGGATATCATGACGCACGCAGGGTAATGCATGCATCGACCACGTACCAAGTCGTAGTCTTGTGAGAGAAAATGATCTTGAAATCTTAACTCTTCGCCCGTGTCAAGGAAAGGCGAAGATTCAGGGAGTGTTGTGTGTTTGGAAATAGTCCCTTTGGCTACACACACCCACAGGCAACTGCCAATGACACGAAGCCGAAGCAGCACCGGAAAGCTAGTGCCAACACGAAGCAAGACATGCAAAGCGCGCTTCGTGTGTGCGCGCCACGCATCGACAGCAGTAGTCTAGTCACGTGGCCATGATGACGGGTTTTGGGTCCAAAAAAGGACAAAAAAAAAGGGTCTTTTGCCGCGTGGACCAACCAAAACGCCGCAGCAGCAGAAGCCGTACTGCTATAAATGTAAATGGACCGGCGTGCTGTATCTCCAGCCGCAAAGCAAGGCTTATACCCGACCGCTACAAGGCCGTCCGAAGGAACATGCGGCAGCTACGGGGGCAGCAAGAAACGAGTCATATGACACCAACCCCAGCGGTTCAAAGCACGGTAGTCAGCAGTGGTCGACCGGGCCATGGAAGAGCGGAGAGATGTGGATACGTATTGTTGTGTGTGGCGGGAAGCAGATTCTCGCACCACCGCCACACACATCTATACGGGCAATGATGACGATCGGGGGGCAGGCAGGGTAAAACGCCAGACGGTGCGGCTTGGACACAAAGGGGAACGGCGCCAAGGGGCACCACCGCCGCTGCTGCCTGCCATTGCGGCTAAAACGCGTGCAACACGGGCAGAAGGTCTGTTGCCGCCGGCACGCCATCTTTCTAGAAAAACAAGAGGTAGGTGTTCTGCACAGCCACCCCGGCGAATCCATCTTTTGTGAAGCCCCACTCACCCCACGTCCAGCAGAAGGGGGATCACCGTGCACAGCGCAGATGTGGCGGAGAACTTCATGCTTGCTTCGCTTGCCCTGCGGTACCTGCTCCGCTCTCTCTCTGTCTTTTCCGACCCGGTGTGATCAAGCAGCTGTTGTGGGTGATAAGATTTTGCGGCGCGCGAAAGTGGGGGGGGGTCTACAGAGTGCATGATTGAATATTGTTCAGGGTATATTCAAAATTGGCCTGAATGGTCTGCGTCACCCCTACTCCGGAGTTCTTCGTGTGTCTGCTGTCGACACAGCAGTCAACCGGAGATCAACAAGCACAGGACGGGGAGGAGGAGCACAGCAGCAGCGTCGACAATCGTGTTGCCCTTTTCCACAGGAACTCTGGTTCTTCTCCTGCTGTGAGACAACCCCAGCGAAAGGGAAGACAGACGCGGTAGCACCTCTAAGCACCATGGGGGACTCAGCGTATAGCTTTTCCCTCACAACCTTCAGCAGGACCGGCAAGCTTCTGCAGATCGAGTATGCACTCATGGCCGTTCAGCAGGGAAAGACAAGCCTGGGCATCAAGGGTGAGTTGTCGCCGAAACGAGAGCGAGAGAAAGAGAGAGATGTGGGCGCAAGGAAGTTGGGGAGTAGGTATTCTGATGCCACTAGCGCTCAGTTGCTGCTGCTGCTGCTGGGGCTGCGGCTGCGCGAAAGGCAAGATATCAATCACTGCCCAAAAGGCCGTAGGGTCTACCGCTACACCTCCGAAGAACTGCACGGCGGTGCTTGTGCTTGCGACGTCCATGTTGCTGTTGATTTGTGCCGTTCTCCGAACATCAGTCTCTTGGGGCTCTTACGCCCAAGAGAGAGAGAGAAAGAGAGAGAGAGTACCTTGTATCTGCCGGTAAAATAAACGCGCTCGTTCTTTTGCAGCAGCGGCAGCAGCGGTGATCCACGAGCGGCAAGCGATCCTCCGCAACCGAAGGGTTGCTTACATCGTATATGCACCTTGGTTGCGTTTTGTACAGCAGTCTGCTGCTGTCGGTTTCTTCTCCGTCCGTGTCTCGTTTGCCCTCGCTGTCGTTCGGTTGTGAGCCCGCCCCACATTCGAGACCCCTGACCCTCAAGCGCTGCAAGTATTACACAGGAGAAAGAAGCCGCCTCTGTAGATTTGACTTGATTTTAATACACGTCGGAAAAAGTGCACATAAACCGAACCCCGCAGCAGTATTGTACTGCCGTACAGCAGTAGATATCCTGGGATATGCGTACGTGCGGCGATGAACGCAAACGAGGACCTTTCCCGTCTACGAAGGCTGCGGCCACAGAGGGAGCTCGTAGCTTGTAACTGCTGCGCGGAAGGCGTCGCGACGAGTACGGAATCGTTCTGTTGCACGGCTGTGCTGCTGTAGCCGGGCGGGGGAGAGTAAATTATATTTGCATACAGCAGTATACAGCAGTCAAAGAAAGACTTGACTTGCACCGGATCGGAGTACATGTTGCACGTGCAACGATAGTTGAAGGGGGATGGGTTGGAGCCTTAGTCTTTCGTCAACACGTGGCGGAAAATACGAAAATACCGACTGGATACTGGGCTTATTTTTGAGTCTGAATGGGCGTGATGTACCTTTACAAAGGCGGAGGAAGTATCCTATTTACCTGTGCAGGAAGGGTGCTGCTGGCGAACGAGCGCACCAACCAACAGGGGGCGCGAGGATCCCCGCGATCTTTCCAAGATCGATCATATTGTGTTGTTGCGTTCCAAAAATGCACCAATAAGAGGACGCGGCGGCCTAACATATCCGGCAAACGCGTCGTGCAAGGAAAACATACAAGCATACAATTGTAGATATAGACTCGACGAACTCTTTCCCCGAAACCACGCACTGCTGTACCGTACCGTAAGAGGCGGAGAGATGGCGCCCCCCTCTACTACTGCTGTAGACCGACTTTTGATGTGCCGGTGGCTATGCTACATACGTTCTAGGTTTGATATGCCGATGGCGAAGTTCTAGGTTGAAGTGCCCATGGTGGGCAGTTCGTGGGCTGGCCATGATATGCATAAAACGTCGTGAAATTTTCCGTGTTGAATGTTCTTGTATCAATTTCCTTGAACCAGCTTGTCGCAGTTCTTGTTGAGTTTGGGGGCAGAATACATTGTTTTGTTGTTTGTTGTTTGTTTTGGTTATTTTTTGTTTTTCAGCTTTGGGGATGCAATATGAACAGGCGCTCTGTCAAGAAAGCCTGCACTATAATGGCAACCTGTATTGTCGCCGTGGGGGTACCCTGTAGACAAATATGTGAAACGGCCCCCGGCTAAGATTCGAGGTCAAAATGAAGTTTTCCGCAGTGCGGGCCCTGACTATACCGGGATTTTTGTACATCGATCGCGCACCTATCTGTCGTTGATTTCTACTGACTCGCGGACCCTTCGGGTTCCATTAATTCTTTTTGTTTTCTTCCTTTTTTGGGGTAAGTCAGCCCATGTTGGCAAGGGAATCGACCGCGTCAGTGTTTTAGACGGAGAAACGTTTCTCTCTCACGATGCGGAAGCGCCGCTGTTATGCCCACGACCACAAAGCACCACCAACAAGCGCCCCACAATATACACCTTAACGTGCGCCTCTGTACGATGCAAAAACACTGCTATTGCCCCCTCCCCCTCCCCAACACGCGCTTGAACCCCTTCTCTCTTCTCCCCAACAAGCCCTTCACCACTGTACCACCGCTGAACGCCTCTCTTGCCGTCCGGACACACTGCTGTTGCCCCCCCCCCCCCCCAAAAGCGTAAAAGCAAGGACGCTTTTCTACTTTTGATGTATTTTAATGCTCGACCTT